GTTTATTGTTCCCTTGCCCATTAATCTGGAAACCAGTCTCGAGGTAACAAGACAGTCCTTACACTTATACGTTTTGAAATACACTTCTTTATTTTATTTTATTTTAATCATTGTTCAAATACAGTTTTCTCCAAAATACACTTCTAAATACCACTCATCAACAATCATTGACATTCCACTAGAGTCAACCACTTTTCCAAAGGCCTGCACTAAGGTGTCATTCCCCAGAATACCCACGAGATGGCAGCAGTACATACACTTCGAACATTTTGGAAATGACCATGTGTACCAACCATCAGTTTTCAACAAATGACTGAAATTATAAAAAATATATGTCTAGCCCTAAAGGATGCTAATTTAGAAGTCAGAAACAGACGGTAACTAGAAAGTCCTGTCATTTAAATATAGTGAAAGTCACTTCTCAAATAACGTTCCATGAGCCCTTGGGAGATAATTCCCTATAGCCAATGACTTTTCCTGCTGGCCTGCAAGCAGCTGTGATTCCCAAGTGACACGTGAGATGGCAGCAGAGAGCCACACTTGGGACATTTTTCAAAGGGACCGTCCTGTGCTAAGGCAAGTTTTAACGAATTTCAGAGTACTGAAATTATATGCAGTATGTCTCTTACTGTCATTGCTGTTAATATAGAAATCATGAACAAAATGTAACTAGTAAGTCCTGATGTTTAAAAGTTACTAAACACATCTAAATAACATTGCAATCAATGTTCACTGATATTCTCCTACAGTCAACCACTTTTCCCGCTGACCTGCCACTAACATGTTATTCCCAAAATTCCCACGAGATGGCAGCAGAGATGCACACTATTTGCTTGGCCAAAAGGTTCATTCGTTTTTTTTTGGTCAAGACAAACTAAAAGACATGTTTTCAACAATAATTTTATTGAACAACATATTCACCATTTTGTTCCACAGCTTTCTACCACCTTGCAGGCATCTTCATAATTCCATCTTCTCCAAAGTTTTCATCTTTGCAGCATTGAAATCTCGTACTGTTTCCTAAATGCTCTCCTTGCACTTAAGCTAGAATTCACTAAAAATGGGTAACTGTAAAGTCCTTATATTTAGTAGTTATGTAATACACTCTTAAACAATCTCAAAAATAAAACAACTTGAATTGCAAAATAATTTACATTGAATGGTGTTAAAGATACTACATACCAAAACTTATGAAAAACATCTTCACCCTTAAATGCATATTATCTGAAATAAAAGCTAAAAATGTACAAGTTTTGTATCCATATTAGGAACCTAAAATAGTACACTAGATCCAAAGGAAGTACATAGAAGCATGCATGTAGACATATCTACAAGTGTATTTACATAAAATGATAGCAGATTTTTTAACTCTTGGGGTAGAATTTGGAATAAATTTTTTTCTCATTGCTTAAGTAAGCAGCAACCAAGAAAATTACAAATACTTTTCAAGCACACTTGGAACGTTTTGAAAAACAACTATATTTAGCTATAAAGCAAGTTTCAACAAATGTCTCACAAACTTTTTTTATTGCTCTCTTTGCTATCCTTGTATGTAAAAGTCATGAAATACACTTCTAAATAATCCCCAAAGTAAATCACAATTGGAGTTAGAAAATCATTCAAACTGAATAATAAAAATACGACATACCTCAACTGACAGCAAATTGTACAGTCTTAAGTTGTGCATATTTAGGAAAAGAGAAAAGCTGAAAATGCACAAGTTTTGTAACCATCTGAAGAACCTAAAATCCAGAGCAAATACAATAGAATAAAGGAAATGTCCACTTACCGATGTCTGAGGGGGCAGATATTTATAACTAAAACAGTTTTTACTTCTTGGGTAGGATTCTAAATTAACTTTATTTTTCTCCATTGTTTATGTAAACTGTAGCAAACAAAGCCATTTTTATTTTAGAGAAAAGTAATAGAAGAACACATGGAACAGTTAAAATTGTAATAATGGATATTGTTCTGACAGCAACACAAGCCTTTTCTTTTCATTGAATGTATTGGGGAGACACTGGTTAATAAATTTATCCAGGTTTCGGGTGCATGATTCCACAGCACATCCTCTGTACACTGTGCTGTGTGCTTGCCACCTCGAGTCTGGTCTCTGCCCATCACTGGTCACCCCCCACACCCTCCTCCCCCTCCCCCTCACCCACCCCCTTTCCTTTGCTCACCTGGCCTGGCCTCTCATCAGTCAGAAAGAAAGTATTCTTTGTCATCGCTTCGCCCAAAGTGCCTCCTATTATAGTTTGCACTCTTTTGTGTGCGATTGCAGCAGTTCTGACAGGGAGGACTCCTAATTTTTTGTCTCTAAAAGCAATATGAGCCTGGATCTGGCACTTACTAACTATGTTCTTTTGGACACAGAACAAACCAATCAGAGTCTTTGTTTTGTCGCTTGGGAAATGTCTCAGTTTTATACCTTAGAACGTTCATTGCTCTACGATCTCGGCTTAGGACTCAGCTCTCCCTCTTGAGAGCCTGTGAGGCTGGACCTCGCAGCGCCAAGCTCCCCGTGGGCACTCACTCCCGCACCGGTCTGGCTTCCTCCTCAGGGCAGCACTGACCCCAGCCTCTCCTCGTCCTCACACCCCTGCTCCTCCGCAAACTCGGGGTCCTGCCTCAGCTCAGGCCAGCCCCACCTCACGTGTTTTCTCACAGCTCCCTCTGCTTACTATCCTCCTCTCGTCCAATCCAAACCCCGCACTGTGACCTGCTGACCTTCCAGGAGTGGGGATCTAATCCTGTCCCTTCCCATGCATGAGAACTACCGACAGCTTCCCCCACCCCCGCCATGAGAATCAAGTTTCCCTCATCGGCACAGTGTTGAGACTCTTTATTGGGTCCCCCTTTCTTCTCCTAGATTTGAGGCCGCAACACCCCATTTGGTCACCAAGATACCCGGAGGTCGACGTCAGCCTCTGTGGTTGGAGATCGGTGAGGGCTTTACCAGACACACACCAGCACTGGGGCTGAGCCTCAAATGTTTTGAGTCACACCATCGACACTGGGGATCACAATTGCGTGCCACAGTAAGATGCCATAAGGACCCAGTGTTACTTCTGGGACATTCCTCCCAAAAATGGGTACCCTGAATTACAAGGGGACACCAGAGATAGCCACTTTGGAAGACATTCTGCAGAATAACTGGCTTGTAATTTTCAAGTGGTAAGGCCATGAAAGTCCAAGAAAAACTGGGACTGTTCCAGGCTCGAGGGCATTGTGAGTGTCTCGCCACATCAGTGCAGCGTATGAGACAGGGTGGGACTTGTTCACAATTTAGGGCATGAATGAAAGAATTCATTAAACTTTAATAGGGTGTGGCAATTAGAAGGCAGTCAAGTATCAGTGCTGATCTGATTGTGACCATGGGAGAATTCTGTATCTGATACACAAAGGGTTAGAGAGATGATGGGGGTGGGATTTACTTTCAAATGGTTCAAACAAAAAAGGTCTTCATATCTATGTATTTCAGCTTTTTTCTAATTTTACTATTTGGGCTGCAGGCCAGGTCCCCAGTAGGGGGTTGCAGAAGTCAACCACACATTGATGTTTCCCTCTCTCCCTCCCTTCCCTTTGTTCTAAGTAAAATAAAATCTTTTTTAAACTTGGTTCGCAGGCCTGTGCTCAACCATTGAGCCACGCCAGCCAGGGTGAATTTTGTTAAATTTTTAAGTAAATATTTTTTAGTCAATTTACTTATTCATTTTTAGAGAGTGAAAGGAGAAAAGTGAAGAAATATCAAAGAGTTCTCTCTCAGCCAGCAACCCAGGCCTGTGCCCCAACTGGGCACTGAACCTATGACTCCCTGGCTCACAGGCTGGAAGCCCACCCACCGAGCCACACCAGCCAGTGCTGAGCACTGTGATGCGGAGAGATGGGCGGTGAGAGGACACAGTGCACGTGGGAGACCGTCTCTGCCGGAAGCACCTATTATCGAGCGTTCAGACGTGTGGTTTGCCAACGAGGGAGGGATGGGATGGTCTGCAGGTCTTCAGGGTGCAGTAAGGGTGGAGGATGCAGCCGAGGGTCCTGCAGCTGTGGTGGCCGAGCTCGGCAGGTCGCTGTGGAGAGGCCTCCACTGCAGGAGCCCCCAGGGTCTCGTCACGCAAGCACCGGCTCCCACACATGCCGGGTCTTCACCCACTCCTCGTTCACGACCTCCTGTGGGTGACTGCCCACACGCCTGCTATTTCTGTCTCCCCCACTACCCTGTGAACAGAGGGCATGGATGTGGCTTTGTCCCCTCGGTATCACACAAGCTACATGGAAGTGACAGCCCTGAGTGTCAAAGCCACCTCCGCAAAAGGGGCTGACGTGCGCTCAGCCCTCGGTGCCCTGTGTGCCTTTGTACGGCCACTTCCACTGCTGCTTATGGGACGGGGACACCAGGGGCAGCGGGCTGTGACATGGGGGTAATGCACTCCTGTTGTGAAATGCTGGCCAGGGACTGACAGCCAGAGTGACAAGACAGTGTGCAGAATGCAGGTAGGTGAATAAAAACGAGGCATTCAGAACATTAAACTTTAATTTAATTGAATAGAACATCTGTCTTGCAAACATAAATGAATTACAACCTGAGGGTGAGATGCACCCACCCGACCTTGCTGGACCACACACAGCCCGCAGACCCGGAAGCGTCGGGATGCTGCCCGGGCCTCACTCGCCCAGCGAACTGGGCGGCGTCCGGCCTGTCACAACCTGCTCAGGAGCCGGAGCCTACGACGTAGTGCTGCCTGAGCGAACCGCACACACCTTCGACTTCTGATGTCGTGAACATGTCTCAAGTGCTTCCTCCAACACCGGAAACTGCCAACCAAACTATCCAAACAAGGCATGCGCCAAGGACTTGACAATGCTTCTCAGCAGAGCCTCCCCACCCCAGAAACTTGAGGAACCTCCTCTTTCCATCAGGACAAAGTTCTGTAACTTGTGTTGAAAGGCTGCGTGTCCACACCTGCTGCCCTGGGGCGCTGGCTCTGGAGGGCAGCTCAGCCCAGGCTGCCTCCCGACAGCTCAAGGAGCATCCTGGCCCCCCAGAAGGCATCGCTGGAGGCCTGGCTGTCAGCCCACTGCACCTGGAAAGCCGATATAGCATTAACCACTCAGAGGCCTCTGCCTGGCTCCCCCACAGCCTGGCCCCGGACACCCCTGCCCCACGGCGTCCGCCTCCAGGTCTCCTTCCACAGCCATCTGGCCTCGAGGCCTCACGCCAGTGTCCATCGTTGGCCGCCTGATTCAGGAGATAGGAAGAGGCCTGGGTCACCTCCCGGAAAGCCTCACCTGGCTGGGTGGCGGGGGCTCACTCAGCTCCACAGCAGGCACAGGGCCAGGGAAGGCAGGTGAGGCGGGTGTCAGCTCCTGGAGGCTGGAAAAGGGGCATGTCAGAGCAGGCCTTGTCTCAAGGGGCACCACACCCGACCCTCCACCCCAGGAGGAAGGAAGAGCCCTTCCAAGTGCCTGATGCTCAGAAACAGTCTCCTCCCCTGGGGCCCTCAGGTGTGCAGGGTGCTGGAGGGGCCTGTGTGACACCGGAGCACAGGGCCTGGGTGGGTCAGAGTGCATCAGAGCAGGCTCACAGAGAAGAGACGTGAGGGAAGAGGAGGTCACATGGAAGGGACAGGACTGTGGTGTGACGGAGACAAGAGGACCTTGGGACCAAAACAGAGGGAGCAGCAGGGACAGCAGGGAAGGTGCCAAGTGCAGCTCCCAGGGACAGCTGTCCCGCAGTTCCTCACTCAGGCGATCGCACACGCACCCTGTGAGCCCGGCACTCCACTCCTAGGTGTGTGCTGACAGCAGACACGAAACAGGCAGGCATGCATAGGACACGTGTCCAGGAACGGTCACTGCTGCCCCAAACCTGAGGCTCCCGAATGCCCTCCAGGTGATGGGGCAACAAACCCCGACCCCCCCGCACCTAGGAGGGCTGCTGCTTCGTAAGGACCAGAGCCTAGGACTTGGGGAACGGCCCCCTCTCCGGTTCCCCTGTAATTCTGCCGTCACCGAGCATCTGGCCCACTGCTGCCAGATGAGGGAGACCCAGCCCCCGAGGACCTGGCCCTGGGGTCACTCCCAGGCCCCCCCCACAGCAGAGGCCCCGTCACACTCCTCGTCGCTCCCATCTGCAGCCGCCCGCACTGCTGCCCATGGTCCTCCCAAGCCGCTGGAAAACTACAACCTGATTATAAATGCAGAATCTTTATCCTGCTCAGAAACTCTGACAGCCTGTATTTGGGACAAAGAAGATGCCAGAAAGAGGGTTCTGGGGCCCGGGGCCACCTCAGGGCACGGGCCCGAGCACCGTCCCCAGGACAGACGCCCACATCTACCCTCGGGTCTCCAGGGGTCCTTGTGCCTGAGGTAACACTGCCCTCTTCTTCCTGGGAGGAGCGGGCTGGGTGGGGGTCTGCTGCAGTTCCCAGAAACCTGCAAACGACGGGTGTCACTGGCACCATCTCAGGGGTCTGCAGACTCACCTCTGCGGAAGGACGAATTCCGGAGCCTGCAGGGGCTGCCGCGTCACCAGGAAGCTGCCCGCCTGTCCGTCTGCTGGGCCAGTGCTGGTGCCCGGACCTTCCTCCAGGTACGTGCTCTGGGGGTCTCTGCTGGGTGTGTCGGCGAAGCCTGCACAGGAGCACAGTCCACAGCCCGATGGGGCGGGGGCCCGCTCCCGTGCAGCACAGCCAGGATCCACAGGACAGGAGCGCCCAGCCCGGCTGGCCCCAGGCCGTAGCCTCCCTCCCAGAACGGGGACTGGACACCCCTGTGCCCCTCAGCGGCCCCTCCAGGCTTCTAGAGAACAAAACAAAGGCAAATCCTGCTTGGTCATTCCAGACCTCTTGCTGTCCCCACCCACAAGGCTCAGCATCCGAATCTGCCACAGTCCCCACGGCCACACGAGGACCGGACACAGGCCTACCCTTCTGGGTCGACTTCGCCTGGTACCTGAGGGTTCATCAGGACTTCACAGAGGTGCAGGGTGCCACGACCTCCCAGTGCCGCTTTCTCTACCGAAACTGTACCACAGAGGGTCTCAATCTCTCTTGGTCTTGAAGACAAGGCCCCTGTGGATCAGCTCAGACTCTACAGACACTTGGGAGTGAAAGTGAGCTGAGAAGGAAGGCCCTTTCCTGCCCTGAGTCGGCCGGGGGTGAGATCAGACCCAGTGGCCCTTACGTCAGCTCACAACAGGCGAGCGGCCCCAGCTCACGCGGCCCAGACCTTCTGTGACCAGAGGAAGCTCCCTGACCATCTGCTCTTTACTGTTTCCTGCAGAACTTTCAGAGGCTTTGAGGTACAGGGCATAGAGTTAAGTGCAAATTTGAACATTTTGGGTTCAAACATAATAGATCAGTGGGATGTATCTTCTTCCTCCGAGAGAAGTACAAAAGCCACAATCTCTGAACAAATGGAGGGTCGTGGAGGGGCCACGGCAGGTGGTGGCGTCCAGTTCTCCACACGGCACCTCATCTGGGAGGAACCTGGAGCACAGGTCAGGGAGGGAGGGGCCCAGGGGGAGAGTGCAGTGATGTCCTGGGGTTCAGGGGCCCACAGGGAATTTCTTGAGTTCCCAGCCAACACTGTCCATTACAGATGCTGGACGCAGACTCGAGACCAGCTGCCCCAGCCCTGCGGGAGGCAGACCAGCAACTGTCCCCGCTCCGCCACTAACCAGGCACACGTGAGTCTCCGGTGGCAGAAACAAACGGAGAGCAAGGAATGAAAGGCCCGTCGGACCAAACTGAAAAGCTGCTTCCAGAAGAACAGGCCCCAGGCCGCTCCTCTCTCTGCTCCTCAGCCCCCTCTGTTCAGAAGAGCCAGGTGCACAGGCCCAACGTTCTGCCTTCAGACCACAAAGCACAGTTTCTGACACTTCCAGTGAGACCCTCAGAGAAATACAAGATATTGCATCTACAAAAAGCATCATGGCTTATGAAGAAAGGAAAATTCAGAGATAAGGAAAGAGAATTTGGAATTCTCTGGAAATATCTATCAAAATAAAATATTGGAAGAGAGAGTTTAAGAAACACCCTCAAAAGCATATGCAGTAACAAAGAAGATACAAGAAACAAGGTAAGCATTTTAAGACTGGTCCAGGATTCCAACATCCAAATAACATTTGTGCTCAAAACAGAGAACTGAGACCACGGAGGAAAAAAATTATTGAAGAAACTACCAAATAAAAGAAAGAAAGAAAGAAAGAAACTATTGAATAATATTACTAAAAAATGCCCAAGCTTAAAGGAGATCTTGTTTTAAATGCAAACACTTAACAGCAAAGTGAATTCAAAGACCCTGGACCATCATTGTGAAATTTCAGAACACTAAGTCACTAAAAAAAACCAAAACAAAATCCCCTCCTTTTTCAGTTTTATCCATTCACGGTGGATGGAATAAACAAAAAGTAACAAGTGAACTAAGAAAACCCCCCAAACTCATGGACGCGGACCACAGAATGGTGTCACCAGGGGCACTGGGCGGGGTGGGGAAACCGGGGGAATGGATCCCAGTGTTTGGTCACAGAAGGCTGAGCACACAGATGAGTATACGGGTATCAAATTACCATGAAAGCACCTGCAAATTATATAGTACTGACAGTATTACCTCGATACATTTAACCTTTAAAAAAAACTCCAATACAGGAATCTCGGGCGATCTGCAAAGAAGTGACCATCAGAGTGACACGTGACTGGACGCTGCGGCAACACGATGCTTGACGCCTTCGGGTTTCTAGCAGAAAAGGCACTTTAAACTCAGAATTCTTTCCCTGCCAAACTGTGCGTCAAACGTGAGAGGAGATGAAAGACAACTTGAGAACACTGATGGGAAAGCTTATCTTGCGTGCACCTCGCTGCACGGTTCACTGAAGACACGCTCGAACACAACAGAGGTGTCAGGAAAGAGAGAGCGAGGCCTGTGACTTGGACACGCTGGGGCCAACCCAGGGAAGCAATTCGAGGGGCTCTCGGCATGGTGGCCGCACCCCGGGCCCCGGGAGAAGACGCCACTGGAGGGGCCCAGGGAGCAGGCGGCTCCCAGCAGCCAGGCCTCAGACGGGACACGTGAAGCCTGGGAGACGGAACGTGTGGGGAAAGCAGGCGGTGTAAGGGGAACAGAGAGGCGACTGAAAACCCCGGAACACCATGTATATAAGCACAGAAGGCTCAGAAATGCGGGTGGCGGGCTGAATTTAGTGCCAGTACCTTCCTTACAAGGAAGGATGTCACCAGATGCTACTGTCCTGATGGGCAAAATGCATATGCACATCCAAATACATGTTCTGAAGGTACTTACAGCTACAACGATAATCAGGGAGAAACTAAGATGACAATATTTCCATCGTGGGGTGAGAGTGGGGAGATGTAGGGTTGGAGAAGCTCCGCCCCCCGTCTAGCAGAAGCTGACAGGCATTCAGGTGCGTTTGAGTAGGGTGCCCAGGGTGGCAGCCACCTCATTTTATTTTTGCTCTTCCCTCGCTGTCTTGTTTTGTTTCATGTGCATATGTTTTAAAGATTTCATTGATTTATTTTTAGAGAGCAGGAAAGACAGGGAGGGAGAGAGAAAAACAGCAAAGTGTGCTTGCCTCTCACATGCCCCCTACTGGCAACTCAGGCATGTGTCCTGACTGGGAATCGAACCAGCAACCCATTGGTTTGCAGACGGGCACTCAGTCCACGGAGCCACACCAGCCATGGCTCATGTGCATATTGTACTCTGACTATTAACTAAATGAGAAACATTACCTGGAATGTTGTGGGAAGGCCTGTTTCAGGTACACTGGTTGTGGGTCTAATTAAACAAAGGACTCGAGCAGGAAGTCCTGGCCTTTCTCACCCTCGCTACCCTCCGAAAGGCCCCAGCCGTTGCAGTCTCCGGCGCAGACACTCACGGTCTGCCTGGAGCAGACTCACCTGTGGAACTGGGCCCCGAGAGCATGGCGACGGACATAGCCACGGGGGCGTCTGTGGGGGGCATCGCGAAATCCAGTCTGGGACTGTAGACCAGCTGCCCAGTCTGAAAGGGAACGTCCCTGGAGGACGCCAGCGCGAGGGACATCAGCCAGGACCTGGGGGCAGCTGAAGAGGGGTCCAGCGCGTCACTGCAGGTGGCCAGTGCGCCGAGGCCAGGGTCAGGGCAGGCGGGGGGCAGAGCGGCGGGATCGTGGCCAGGCCCCTCCTGGTACATCTCAGCACCCTGCAGAGACCTGGGAAACACCGCCGACACCGTTCCTGGGTGGACAGGCCTCGCTCAGGCCGGGGCTGTCGCTGATGGCACGGGGCCCACCGCCCCTCCATCCCGCCACCTGCCCTGTCCTCCCTGGGGCTGCAAATGTTCTAGAGATGCTCAAAAAATACGACTGCTGGACACTCAGGACACACTAGCAGTTCATTCACAAGGACCTTCCCTGAAGCGTTCTTCCACAACACTGAAAGCTGGACGCAATCAGCAGGAGCCCACTAGCTGGCTGCATACGTGATGGCTGATGTTAAGGGAACAACACTGGGCAGCCGCCGATACGGCCCAAAGAATCCGTGTCCCACAGACACTCGCAGTGTCTCAGGTGGTACTCTCGGCCGTTTGTCCACAGCCCCAGCCCAGGCATCTCTGGGACAGCCCACCTGGCAGGTCCTACAGCTCCCCCTTCACAGGTGAGGAGAGCGGGGCCGGGAGGTCACAGCAACCTCGCTGAACAGTGCTGTGGGTCTGCACACCGGGCATCAGGCCCAGTTACTGTCACTGGTGCACAGTAGGACCTCAAGCAGTGTTGGCTGTTACCAACTTAACGAAACACAAGCCACACGAAATACCAGAAATAAGCAACCCGCGACTGCGGGGTCTGCCTATTTCCCTTCCTACGCCCGTTTTCCCCGTTCCCCACAATCCGCGTGACGTCAGGCCGTGACGCAGGCCCCTGTAAGGAAGTGCAGGGCCCTGACCTGGGTTCCCGCCAGGGGTTCCCCGACCCCTGGGGCCACAGTGTCACTGACCTGGTCCCAGGGTTGACCCCGCATTCCCACGCCCACTGCAGGCCTGGTTTCCTGCTGAGGACAGGGGAGCGGAACAGGGCGATGGTCCCCAGCCTGCGGGGACGACAGTACCTGGGAATCAGTGGTTTTGGCATTGCCGCGTCTCCAGAAAAGTCGGAGGCCAGGGCCAGAGGCTCCCACTGACTGTGGGTGGTGGCCAAGGACCAAGCACGCCCGCTTTCCTCGCCTGTCAAAAGCCGATCGGACGGGAGGGGAGGTTGGATGGAGTTCAGGTTCCATCCTCCTTCCCAGCAGGTTACCAGCAGCCCCGATGGCTGCAAAGGGCATAACCTCTGAGTCATCCCGATACTCTCTGTCCCCTAATTCATCTGTGGTCCTAATGACAGTCCGTGACTGAGACGCCCTACAGCCTGGCGCGTGGCTCACTCCCCAAACGGACTTGACCTCTGGCCCTGGCCACACAGGCCTCTAAACACACATCGGCGGCAGCCCCACCTGACCCTCAGCCTCGAGCTCTCGCTCCTTAAGGGTGAAGTCTCCACCGTGCCGATCGGGGAAGGGTCCCCGACACCACAGCGACCCTAGCCCTAGCCCTAGCCCTAGCCCTGCCAGAAGCTGCAGTGACCTGACGTCCGCCCCAACCACCGGGGCCCTGGGGCCACTCACCTGACCATCGAGGCCGGTGCACACACCCGAAGCAGGGGCGGCGGTGGCGTGAGGGCTGCAGGGGGTCCTCGGCCGTGTCCCCCGCGGGCTCAGGGCGCTGCAGGCCGGCTCTCTGGCGCCGCCGGTAGTTGGCGAACCAGTTGTAGACCTGCTCCGCCGTCAGGCTGGTCTCCGCGGCCAGGCCCTCCTGCCGGAAACGAGCCTCAAGCGCTGCACCACCCGCGCTGCGGTGTCCACAGGGGCGACCTCGCTGTCACCGTGGGCGGGCGGGGGCGGGGAGGGCGGGGGAGACCCGCGGCCAGGCCTCCTACGGGGCAGCCCCGACGGCCCCCGAGAGCCAGGAAGACCGGGAACGGCCTGCAGACCCGCGGCCCCCGCGGCCCCCTGGAAACCACGACGACCGCTGACCCGCGCCCTTCGCTCCCTCAGGGGCGGGCACGACACTCGGCAGTCACAACGGGCGGGCGGCCACCGGGGAGCCCTTCCACTGGACGGCAGGCGGGGAAGGCGCGCAGAGCCCGGCCGCCGGGACGCCGACAAGCGGAAGGCGCGACCCCCGGGGGAGCCCCGACTGCTGAGGGGGGGGGAGACGGGGGGGGGCGCGCAGCTCGAGCCCAGCCATTGGACGGGAAGCAGGGTGGGCGGGGCAGCAGCCGGAGCGCCCTCTTGATTGGGTGAGACCCAGAGGTGGGCAGAGCGGCCGCTGGGGAGACGTTTGTGATTTAATGCGGGAATTAGACCGACACGGCAGAGCTTGGCCGATCCGACGAAGCAGCGAAGCGGCGGAGGGCGCAGGATCCCGTTTCTGAGCAGCGGGAAACTCCCTCCCGCCCCGTCGCGCCGTTTCCCCGCGAGCTCCCCGCCTCCTGGCTCCAGCCTCAGCGAGCACCGGGCTCCACCGGCATCGGCCCCGCCAACGCTGGAAGCTCCGTGAAGGCAGAGACTCAACACCCTCACCCAGTACCTCGTGTCTGGCCACCGCGGGTGCTCAGGAAGCATCTGGTTGAGCCACAGGCGACCTCACGTGAGAAAACTAAACCCTCCACGTGTGCAGGCTGGGCTTTCAGGGGCTGCCAGACAATGAGCTATGGTCCCCAGGCCAGTTCAAGGAGAACCGGAGACCACCAGGGCTCTGGCAAGACGGGCCACTGGGGAGGCCTGGGGGTGAGTCACCTAAGGACCGGGTGTCACCTAACGGTGGAGATTGGCCAAGGGGAGGGTTGCCTGAGCTGTCATTGGCTCTTACCCGCTCAGCCTTGCTGGGGTTGCTGCTCACTCCGGAGGCAAAGTCCTGCAACTTCTGGCGAACCTCTCTAGGGAAGTTCCTGCTCTTCAAGCCCTCAGGGCAGAGGGCGGGGGGCGGTGGGTTCCTGGGTGGGGACAGTGAGGAGGTGGTGACAGACATCCCTTAACCTGGCTACACCTCAAGTGCTGCAGAGCACCGGGCACCCCTGCACCTCCTCTCAGCTCACCGGCCACTCCTTGCCCCTTGCTGCTGCCACGTCCCAGGGGCCCACCCCGAGGGAGGAAGGGGCTGCCCTGGCCGGCACTCTGCTCCGCACAGTCACAGAGGTCGCACCACTCCATGAGAGGCCAATTGCTGATAAATGCCAATGAACTGTGGAAGATGGGTGATGAGGATATTGAAGTTGGTTATGCTTCACTGTGGTGTCCATTTGAATTGTTGCAAAGGAAAACAACGACGTAGAAACAACTAGTACCTGTCTATACGAGACTTGATATACAAACACCACCTGAACAAATCCCCACGGCATCAGAAGAGACATCCTTCCCATTAATCCCGGAGCTTCACAGGAGCTGGGCCCGCAGCCCCCCAGACCTTCCCCAGCCCCATCCTGTGCATCTCGGTGAGAAACCACCCTATTCCAGCCACTCAAGCCAAGAGCATTGTAGTCTGGCTTTATTCCTCCTTTTCCTCCTCCAGTACAGCCAAGCCATCGCAAACCCTCCAAAATCTACCTTCACACAACGCTTTCCTCAGCCACTCCCAGAAAGTCCAAGAACCTCCTGCCTCTGCTCCTGCATTGACCATCTGCTGGAACTCTGACGTCACCCCCTCCTTCCGACCCTAAGATCCACTTGCTCAGATCCGCCCTCCAAGGACTGGACCGGCCCGCACTGCAGCCCTCCCCACAGCGAAGAATACCGTGTCACTGTCCTCGTCTGAAGGCCTTCTGTCTAGCATTCCTCCCTCCGAGTTGTGGGGTGTACCTGGTTTCCTTGTTCTGTCCACCGTCCACACCCAAGGTCAGCTCCGGGAAAGCAAAGCCCAGTCTCTATCCTCAGCACCTCCAATAACTCCCAGCAATTAGGGGCCCCTCACAAACACCCTCTGCTGGTCCCACATCATTTACGCTGCTGAACCGCACTCAGGCAGACCATCAGCATCAATATGCAGGGACGCGGCTACACCCCGCAGCCTCCAAGACTCACATCTCACTCTGTTTGGTGGGAAGCATGAAAAAAATCCTCTCTGGTACAAAACGAATCCATCTCTTCTGGTGACCAGGCCCCATGGCTCAGGAGTCCGGGCACTTGGGCTGTCAGGAGCACAGTGGCCCTGCAGACCAGCAGGGAACAACCAAGGTCACGATCAAAGGCTCCATGGTCTCAATGTCTGGGCTGGAATCCTGGCTTTGCCTCTGTCTACTTTGTAACCTAGGCAAGTCACTAACTTTTCTGTGCCTTGGTTTCCTCATCCATGAATGGTGACAACAGTAGCAATAACTAACAGTTGTAATGTTTCCTTAGTGCTGACAAAGGTTATGGTGGTGATTCTTATATACTACCTCTCCTTAACATCTACTGTGCCAGGCAACCTTCTGAGTACTACCCACAGCACTCTCCTCTTTAACTCTCTTTAAAGGTCCTGCAGCTCTGAGGGCCACTGCTGAGACCAAACCACCTGCAGAGCCTTACCTGAGGCACGAGGGCTGGGCCACTCCCACAAGACAGAGCGTAGTGAGGCCTCACTCCCAGCCTGCGGGCCCTCACTGGGGGCAGTGGCTCTCGCCGCAGCTGGAACTCTCCGCCTGGGTCCTGGGAACCACTCCCACTCCCCCACTGGCAAAGGTGGGAATGCACGCCCATGGCCACCAGAGCAGACAGAGGGTGGGGCTGTGTCACACACATGGGTCGATAATGAGTCTATTACCTTTGCACCAGATGCTTCGTCTGACTTCTCCTGCACTTACCATCCTGCCTGCTTCACCTAAGTCCTCCTGTGGTTTGGATGGCACATCGCTCAGGAGCCCCAAGGAATAAGCACAAGCAAGGCCCACTGGCGTACCTCTTCCTGCAGCGGAACTTTTGCACTGGGGTCAGTGTGGCCACGCCCAGCCTCTTCATGACCAGATGGTAGTGAATGTCGTTCCAAAGCTGCACCAGCTCCTGGCTGCCTCCTGGCACGCGGCACCCCTGCCGAGAAGAACCTGCTGAGACCTGGCCACCCTCACCTACCGGGAGCCCTGCCATCCGACCTGCCCTGACCCCTGGGAAGAGCTGCTCACTGATGGGCCAAGTAGCAAGGGCGTGACCAGATGGCCAGTGCTCTGAGTGCCACCAGGTGCAGTGCCGTGTGCTTGGTGGCCCAGCTGGCCACCCATTCACATTAGCACCTCAACCCTCCCGAAGCACTAAGGTGAGCACAGCTCCCAGTCACCCCTCACAGGTGAGGAGCATGAGGCAAGGGGCAGGCAGATGACTGGCTGACGGCCACGCGAGCGGCAGAGCTGTGCGAGCACCACACTGTGAGAGCTGAGATTCTGAAGCCTGACGCACATCTTATTTTTTTTCAAATGTCCTTTTCTTTTCTAAGATTTTATTTATTTATTTATTTTTAGAAAGTGGGGAAAGGAAAGAGAAAGACAGAAACATCAATGTGTGGTTGCCTCTCCCATGCCCGCTACTGGGGACCTGGCCCATAACCCAGACATGGGCCCTGACTGGGAATTGAACTGGCGACCCTTTGGTTCGCAGGCCCGCACTCAATTCACTGAACCACACCAGCCAGGGTTTGACCCACATCTTATGTGAAAGACTTTTTCTCCCTCCAGCAGGCTGGCCCCTGGGTCCTCAGAGAGTGCGTTCTGAGCGGGGTGGGAGGAAGGAGTCCTGGCCTGTTCACATAACCAGACTCTGACAAAGCACTCGGCCAAAGGTGGCCAAGGACGTCTGGCACTGGCCTCCCCAGACATCTCAGTCAGGGTGCCTTGCGCCTTTAACCCCAGTGTTCTCAGGACCACCGTGGTGAGGGAGGTGCTAAGAACGAGAAACTGAGCCCCTCCTATGTCCCAGATGTTATGCTGGGTGTCATCAACGCTGTGACTCGTGGGCCCACAGCACAGCGAGGGGAGGCAGAGGGAGCACGGATCGACAAAGAGTTCCGACACGACCTGAGGAGGGCCCCAGCGGGTGGAATGTGGGGCTGCACTGGGGGATAAAGCGGGTGTTACCTAGACAGGGTGACATTCATGTTTCTTCTTATAGTTTCTGCCATTGCTTTTAGAGAGGAAGGGAGAGAAATATCGATTGGAGAGAGAAGCATTGGTCAGTTACCTCCCGTACACACGCTGATGGGGGATCGTACCCACCTGGGCCAGGTACCAAACCCACACCCTAGGTATGTGCCCTGACTGGGAATCAAACCCACAACCTTTCTGTTAGGGGATGACACTCCAACCAACTCAGCCACACCAGCCAGGGCTAGATGGGGTGACATTTAAAGCAGAAACCAGAAAGGTGGGAAGGCACCAGCCTCTGGCAAACGGTATGGCATGTGCATAGGTCCTGGGACAAAGAAATATCTTGGGAATTCTAGGGATAGCGAGGAGGCCGGCATGGCCACTGTGGAGGACACCGGGACAGAGTGCGGAGGCTCACGCAGAGAGCAGGCAGGCTCAGATCCCAGGCCCTGGGCCACTGCCCTGGCGCACACAAGGGCCCACCTGCAGTTTTACACGTCTTCCCGCTGCTGCATGAAGGCAGTTTGAGGGACCAGAGGACACCACTTGGCTGGGAGGGAGTGGAAATACAAAGAACTAGGAAAAATGGAGTATCTTCAAAGTAAACTCGGCATGAACTATGCATGGACTGTAATATGGGGTGAACCAGGGAAAGACAGGCCCTCAGGTCCCTTACTGAAGCCCTCTGAGCTGTTTGTGCTTTGGAATTCAGAACTGCTCAGATTCTGGAAAGTAACACAGGCATATACTATATAATGTCCACCCGTAAAGTCTGGGGCAGGCCACATCCTGCAATCAAACACGTCAGTGTTTAGACAGCAAAATGCACCTCTGTCCTATTAAATGGATAAATGAAAACCACAGCCCCAACTGGTATAGCTCAGTGGGCTGGCCATTGTTCTGCAAAGCAACAAGTCGACAGTTCCATTTCCATTCAGGGCACACGCCCAGATTGTGGGTTGGGTCCCTGGTCGGCAGCTGCATGTGAGAGGCAACCAGTCAATATTTCCCTCTCTTTCTCCCTCCCTTCCCCTCTCTCTATATGTAAATAAATAAAATCCCTCAGACCAGTCCTACCTCCAACAGCCGGCAGGCAGCCTGGTACTGCCCCTGCTGGACCAGCACTCGGGTGCACACTAGGGCCACATCCTCGTTGTCAAGGAGGTACAGGCGGAGCTGGCTGTCCAACACAGCTGTGACCAAGGGCTGCACCTGGGCAAGGTCGTCTTGAAGGTCCCGGCACAACCTGCCAGCGAGGGTTACCACCTCCTCCAGGGGTGGGCTGGTGCCCCCACTCCCCCTCAGCATCTTCAAGAAACTCTGCATCCTGTGTTGGGTTGCGCCCCTCTATAAACAAGGTGACAGTCATGACAATGGCCAGCGCTGACGACAGGTTGATTGTACGTCAACCCTCGACCCTCTGAGGGGCCCCTCCTGCCACAGACCCTCGCAAGGTGCCGCTAATGAGAGCCTGCCTGAGAAAAGGCCGGAGGGAGCAGATGCCCGTGGCATCTCCTCCCAGCCCCCCGGTCGTGCACCCCTCCCGAGCAAGGTGCTGTCACTCATTCCTCTGGACCCTCCCTCTGTCCCCTGGGTGGCCCGCACGCAGGCCCCACCCGGGTCCTCTGACCATCCTGTTTCCACCTGTCCTTATGCACACAGTGATGACGTTTTGTTTCACTCCCCCTCTGGACTCAGTGGGGCAGGGACCGTGGCGGGGTGGGGGAGGTGTCCGATTTCCTCAGCATCTGCCAGACGAATGCCAAGGCCTCTACCAGCCTGTAGCAGTGCCCTGGGCCAGGCGCTGGGCAGAGGCCTCTCACATTCCTGCAAAGAGGAGCCATGGGGCCTGCAGGAGCAGGACAAGACCATCTGGTTTTAACTGTTCTGAGTGTTAAAAAAGCTGAAACTTACTATTTGAAAAGCACAAAGAGTTAAAGGTTGCCCTAACCACACACATTAAAAAAGAAAAAAACACCCTACACAATGGAATACACCCTTGCGGGGCCGCCCTGCACCCATAGCCCTGGGCCTCTGGCTCCCTCCCCTCACAGCTTCACGCAGTGCTGGCACTCAGTGAGCACACCAGCAGGGGCCTGACATCGCCTGAGCCCAGAAGGCTGGCTGCAGGGCCCAAGCAAAGAGAACCGATGCATTATCCCACAAAGCCCGTGCTGCCCCCTAACACATGAAAGCTATAGCAAGTGGACTTAAAAGTTTTGAGTTTCTTTTTTATACAAATCTATGTATACATACACCTATTTTTAAAAAATATTTTATTTATTATTCTGCCCTGGCTGGTGTGGCTAAGTCGATTGAGCACTGACTGGGAACCAAAGGGTCACTGGTTCGATTCCCAGTCAGGGCACATACCTGGGTTGCAGTCCAGTGCCCCAGTAGGGGGCGCATGAGAGGCAACCACACATTGATGTTTCCCTCTCTCCCTCCTTTTCTCTCTCTAAAAATAAATAAATATTTTTTAAAATATAAAAATTTATTTATATTTATACAGAGAGGGGAAGACAGGGAGGAAGGGAGAGAAGCAATCATTGATTGCCCTTCATATCACCTGGCCCTTAACGTAGGCACGTGCCCTGACCGGGAATCAAACCTACCACCTTTTGGTTCGTAGGGCCGCACCCAATCCACTGAGCCACACCAACCAGGGCCATACACCAATTTTTTAAAAATTATTTTATTTTTGTTCAATTATAGTTGTCTGCATTTTCTCCCCCCGCCCCATACACTTATTTTTAACAGCACAGAGGGACGGCTGATCCAGCTAGTACCAAGGACATTTGCCGGCGCATATGCATGGTCCTGCAAAGTGTCCCATGAAAGGAGAGGCTGTATGTGTTCAAACACCTTGCAGCCGTGAACGTTTCCAAGGATAAGGCCTTATTTCTATGGACCATATTCCTGGGGGCCAAGTTAACAGGCGGTGCTACGGGAAATCTAAGTTTTTAGCAGATTCTGCTGAACTTTCCACTAAGGTTGTGAAAAATCTGCGCGCGCAGCCGCGCAGCGCTCGCTTCAGGCTATGCGCCCCACCCCCCCACCTTCCTCCCGGCTCCACGCCCACCTGTCCACGTGGACGCGCTCCCACCTACTTCGCCACTTCACCAGGTCCTGACTCGGGACCCTAAGATTCACCCCGTCCTGATGGACGGGAGGCCCAGACCCCGGGTCCCCGAGAGAGCAGAAGCTACAGGGGTTCGACGGGTAGAGGAAGGGGAGAACTAGGCTCCGGACCCACGTTTCCTCCAGCGCCGACCCCACGGGCTCCAGGAGAGGCGCAAAAGAGACTAAGGGCCGGGCTCCTGCGGACAGGACCCGAACCCTGAGGGGACTAGGCCCTGAGCGCAGATGGAGCGGACGGAGGACAGTAGGCAGCTCTGCCCAGAGGCCCGACCCCTACACCCCTATGGCTGGGGTCCGACGCCACGTACCTTTCACCACGAGCTGCTTGCTGCGGAGGCCAAGAGTCCTACCCCGCCGCATCCACTTCAGGGCTCGGGGTCCACACCCCACCCCCAGTCCCACTTCCGCCCTGGCCCTGCGTGCACGTGCTCCGCCCGCCGCTCCAGGGAGGCGCCGAGGCGACTGCCAGGCAGCGTAAAAGGTGCGGTCGCTACAAAGTATCGAAGCTGCAGCCAATCCGGGCGAGGGCCCCGCCTGACTCCCCCTGTTCCCGGGGTCTGTGCAGTCCAGGGGGCGCCAAGAAGTTCTGGCGTTCGGAGGCGCCATGTAAACTGGCTCTGCAAGTCCTCAGCTCCCGGACGGAGCAGGCGGGTCTTGAGGCTGCAGCGGAGACGAGGGCGTCACCACCCCCACTCCCCAGAGGCGGGGTCCGGAGGAAGCGGTGACCCTTGGCTGACCCCAGGCCACCAGCCCAAGTGGATCAAGGAGCCAAGCCCTGTGGGGATCTATTCCTGGCCCCGCTGGACGACAGCGCCTTTCAAACCCAGGACCCAAGGACACAGGGCGGGAGCAGAGACCCCTGCGGGACGCGGGGCTCGCGATTCAGGAGGGGGCTGCACTGAGTCGGGCCGCAGGGGCACCCAGGGACAGCCCCAGCGAACTGAATCCCGCGCCGGCCTGACCTTCGCGGGATCCCGAGCGTCGGGCAGCGGGCGGCGAGCCTTTGGGACGTCTCCACCAGCAAGGAGAGGAGTCTCGGCACTCGCTGATGCAGGTCTAGTCGGTGGGAATCCCGACGTCCTGCTCAGACACGGCCTTCAGTGCAGGAAACACATTGCGCGCTGCCCCACCCAGCGCGCTAGACGGTGTTTCGGAAATGAGAGGAGTGGAAGGTTGCAAGCTGGTTCTTAAAGGATGGTCAAGGTCGGACTAGAAAGGAAAAAATTCTCTTGGCTGCAGAGCTTATGCAAAGACTTAGGCACAAAGACTGACATTTCGGCGTTGTTTAAGTGAAAATCGGAATCCAAGCGGCTGGTGGAAGATTTGCTAAGTAATCACACTTAATGCTCACGGCCCGACCGGGGATCATGACAAATGGTACAATAAAAACGGCGAGTTACGAGACAGCTTGAGTGATAGGAGCCCATTGGAAAAGTACATAGAATAAAACGTTGACTTCTGGTTGACCCCGGGTGATACAATTCTTTTTACTAGGCATTTTAATTTTTTTCCTTACTCGTGTTTTCTGATTTTTATAAAAAGATACTTTGTTTTTCGACTTTTAGACTCTCTCCAAGGCATGAAAAAAAGAAAACACAGGAAACAGGGTTGGGGGAAGCAAACCCGACGGACCCAGTATAACGAGAGGAACTGAGAAGTCGCTTGCAGCAACGCCATCCTCCCCGGCGGTTTACCGGGAAGACCTTCTGGCGCGGGAAGCGTAGTCCCTTTCTCTAAACCACAGTGTGTGTGCAGTGAAACATTCCCGATGGCCCTCTTTACCCAGTTAACATCAACTGAGTCCGTGAAACTTAAACATCCACGTATCTAAGAAACTGCTTTAGAATGTGCTAATGGCTGCGTTAGACAGACGTTAGACGGCATGGTGAGAGGAAAGGCAGCCTGTATTTACAACTCGCCTCGGTTAATGACCTTTCCTTGGAAGATGAGGCCTTTATTACAATGGGAGCTTATGAAGACTTTGTCCTGATTTAGGTGTTTAGGAATACAAATAGTTCTGTGCTGAAGTTAGGAATGTAGGCTTTCAGTCCAAGTTAAAGGCGGCCACTTAATGGTGGGGAAACTCTGGAAACTGTTTCAATGTTTCTTCATCAATAACAAGGGAAGGGAACCCTAGCTCAGAAGGGGGTAGTAGGCTACCGTAAGACAATGTTGGTAAACAATAACATCTTATCTGGGACATTCAGTGTTCAGCAAATGCCAAACAAAAAAGTGACTGAATAACAACGAATTAGGACCATAAAATTCACTGAATTACACGTGATAATTTCTCATATGAGGTATGAGGTTTATTTTACTAATTTTAAGATTTTGCACTTTGAATAAAGTTTAATTTCATCAACTTTTTTCTGTCTCTGGACTAGGTTTTTCTCTTTTATTTTGAAATTGTGGTGGAATAGTTTTTTTTTTCAATTAAATCATATTTGGATAGAATAAACCATACATGATCATGATACAATTTTTACGTATCATTAGATTCAGGCTGCTAATTTTTGTTTAGAATTTTTGCATCTATGTTCATGAAAGAGATATGTCTACATTTTGGGGTGTTTTTTTTTCAACTGTTTATCTCATTTTGTCACCACAGTTATGCTGGTCTCTTTAAAACTATTGGGAAGGATTGTTTTGCTTTTCCTATTTTCTGAAATTTTTACAGGATTGGAATTATTTCTTCTTTAACTGTCAGGAAGAATTCACTAGTGAAGTCATCCAGGCTTCAGACTTTTGTTATGGAAAGGTTTTTAAATTTGGATTCAGTTTTTCAATTTTTTTTTGTTCTTAGTTTTAGGTTTTGTTTTTCCAGAAGACTGTCCATATCATCTAAATTGTTTAATGTTTTTGCCTATTACATGACTTTTATCTTTGTAAAATTTTTAAATTTATTTTTAGAGTGGGAGAGAGATGTCAATTTGATTCATAACAAAAACAAATGTGTAACCTGCAGTTGAATATTCTACAAATGCCTTAGTTCCACTTTGTGGATGGCATTACTCAGTTCATCTATGGCCTTGCTGAGATTTGGTCTCCCAGATACTGAGAAGTAAACGTGTCCAACTAAAATGATAAGAGTATATTCTTTTCGGCTCAGTTTTTGCATGATTTTGAAGCTTCAGTTTCATGCACACACACTTAGGATTTCTTTGGTGAAATGAAGCCTTCATAAT